CACTACATTAGATAATTTCAATATTTTTTGGTATTAAAAATGGTTTTTTAAAGCTTTAAACATTAGTACATTATTGTCTGCAAATTTCGTTTCCGCAAGAATTTCCCTCCCTTCAAAAAAAAAATGTTGAAAAACGCTTTTTTTGTGGCCTAATTAAGGCAATTTTTAATGTGCAATTGGTCTACTTGTACTCCCTCTGCCTTTGATTGATGTACAATTTACATAATAATTGCCATTTATGTATCTAAATGTAATCGAGACTGGAATTTCCTGGTCGATTGAACGAAAAGTGATAACGCTGTTTTCGATATCGATACATTTTTCATGAGCGCCATAAACATAAAACCTTTTAATTAAATTAAACTAAAATTTAATCTTTTTTATATAAAAAAAACAGTATTCTACATACATACATATGTAAGTATATTTATCTAATCTGCTTTTGCGCTTACGACTTCACATCATAAAAAAAACTCATTTCAGCCGGCTAATCAAATCCGTCCGTCAGTCAGGTGCTTTCGGTGGACCTATTATATCAGCCACATGATTTTAACGACTTTATTATTTTTATATTATTTTTTTGCATATGCCATGCATATACCATTAAAGAAATAAATGAGCAATACAGTAAGGAAAAAGAACTTAAATAGAAATTGACATATTGAGAAATAATAAAATGTTTGAATTTCGTAGTGGGGGAAATAAAAATTTAAACAAAATTGTTTTATATGCAAAATTTTTACTATTTAGTGTATTAAAAATTATACGAAACCAATGTTTACATAATTTTTTTTAATTTTTGTCTACATTTTAATAATTTTACGTCTACAACTTCTTTGGCTCCCTAATGGGCATAAGTCGAATTGCCAATTTTTTTCCGCACAGCGGAAGATAAATGTCAAGATATTAGATAAGCGATAACAACTACAAATTCGCTTATCTTCATAAAGTAAATGTTTGAAGCAGCAAAAGTGACAGCTGAAATATTTAAGTTGAGTAATAACAACCTTTGTTAAAATAGTTTGACGCCAAACATGATATGTGAGAAAAAAATATGCTGGCAAGAGAAGAGCGGGCAGTATTCACGTCCATATGCATACTTATGGTGTTAAATGGGCTGCTGAGCAACTGATTGACACCAAACTGATGGGCGGACGTACGACGTACGGGCGTTTAAAATAACAACCAAACGAAAATTGCAAACGACGATAAAATTGCAATGGATACATTAACAGATATCGCACACAGCTGCTAGATAATAACTTTTTAAGTACATGTGTATGTATGTGTTTCTATAAATGTTTATTTATTACGCGTATATGTTCGTGTAAAACGTGATTGCTGCTTGGATGGGTGCAGCTGACGTTCATCTGACCGGCGCTACTTTGATACTTACACTTTTGTTTATACACTTTGTTGATTTTCAGTTTTGAATTATAAATACATACATATGTACATATGTTATGCGTGTGTGTAAGTTAAAGAATATCTTGGATTGTGCTCAAGCTCCGTGGAATTTATCATAAAGCATTTCGATTGTTGTAAATTGCTTGTGAAAAACCTTGACTGGTTTTGTTGGCGGTTTATGACTTCGCGCTTACGCGTTTTAATGCTTGACATAAACACACAATAATAAAGTGAACAAAGGAATAAATAATAAACTTTCGAGTCCAAACAAAAGACGCCTTGATAGAAGCCACTTGCATACTTATGTATACATATGTGTAAGTATTTGTACCTACTTCTTGGCGACTCAAGTCAATTAATCGGATCAAAAAGCATATAACAGCATGCTGATGCAAGTGAATATTCCGTATATTGTTTGTATGTATGTATCTACATGCCTCAAACCGCTGTTTTTTCCAGCGCATTTATTATTCAAGACGTAAGCGCCACTATAAAAATGTGCATTGAATTTATGCTATAAAAAAAATTATTCAATACAGTTTCCAAAGTGACACTGCCGGATAAAAACACTTTGAAGTGGTGCACTTAGCAAATATGTATGTATGCATGTGGCTTTCTTGCTGTCAGAGCGCGAACAATATGTATTTACTACCTATGTACATACATATGTATATACTCGTACATTCAGCTTAAACATAACTAAACACTCTGTCAGCTCGTAGCACCCCCAGCGACAGCGCGCACAGTCAGCCAAGTGTGCACTATTATTGAGTTACAATCATGCTTAAGCAGCGGCATTAATGCTCTGGGAGGGTACATAGTGCATTTTAGAGCACTAGTACACTTAACTGTGCATACTTAGGAACTCATGTACATATGTACATGCATGTATATGTGAGTATGTTAATAGTTGAATAAAACTTTAAAGCATTTCTCATCAGTTACCCACTGCATTTACTTCATTGACTATGCGATAATATTTGCTGCTGTGTGATAAAAAAAAAAAAAAAAAAAAAAAAAAAAAAAAAAAAAAAAAAAAAAAAAAAAAAAAAAAAAGTGCAGTCAATTATTGAAATCGTTGCAAATGTTTTTGTTAGCAACTAAATTGATTGCACTGATTAAGAAATTTGTTTTATGGAAATTCATGTAGCAAAATTTACCGGGGAGTCTTGATGTATTGAGGTTAGGTCTCAAACTGCTCGATTTCAGAACTTTATATATCTAAAATAAAGTCAAAACTGGTATTATCAGAAGTTGTATGTAAATAAATATTCATACACATATTTATATACATTCATTATAATGCATTGCATACACATTTATATTCATCCCAGCAAACGCCATTGAACTTGACAGCTAACATCAGCTCCAAAGTTGGCAGCGCACGCACATTGTGCATAATAAAAGATCATACAAATGTACATACCAACAATTTATTTACAAAAATAAATACATGCATAAAAATCTACTACACATATTATCCATTGCAATCGCTAGTTACCAGACTCAGAAAGTTTGAACTTTGCGGAGGAAGAGCAACGCCACGAAGTCGACTTGACAAATCAACGCAGCAGAAGGCGTAGTCGGCAACGAGTTGTATCAGCGCAACTGCTAGAGTTTAAAGGAAAGGAAAACGCATGTGTTTGAAAGTTTCACTTCATTTGCTTTTAGATCAGATTTGTGTACATACATATGCATGTATGTATATGTATATAGAAAAATGTTGTACCACCCAAACAGAACAGGATTTTGGCATTTAAGTACATGCGGTTTTTGAAGTCCATCCCCCAGTGAGCGAGGTAGACTTTTAGTATTTTTACATTGGATATGAGTACAGAAAATTCATTTATAAAGTACCACCCTTGTTAACAGCCTTCCAATGGGACTGTGGGTGTCCAATGCAAATTTGAATGAATCGTTATGTAGGTATTTCGATATAGTGGTCTTAGACGAAATTAATTTAGTTGGCATTTAAAATTTTGTTCATGTCTAAAACTTAAAAGCACTCCTTCAAAACAGTCTACAATGTATCAGTACTATGCCGACACCATTGACTATGGATATTCCTTGTATACACGAGCTTTTGCAGCACAGCGCCGACAACGCATTAAATCCCATCACTCATAAGGTGACCTCGCCCTCAGCAGACATATCAGTCGCCGTTTCTGCCATCTACTACCACCACCTACATGTACATACATACATACATTTATACATGCATATATGCAAAGTAATGACAACAGCAACATGACTCACAGTGCTGCAACTTTTAATATGAATTTCGGCGTAAATTTTTCAAACAAAACAGATTTTTGTATTGCATTTTATAGTTCCCCTCATTCAACTCATTAAAAATACACTTGTGCAAACATTAACTCTGCGACTGCGGTTGAAAAGTCGACAGCGACGCATAGACGACGCCGACGTCGACTGCGTTTGCCTTCTTCCTTACCACAAACAAATACATATATTCCATAAATAGTTTTATTCTTCGTGGGGGAGTTCTTCATATTTTTTTTTTGTTGTTTTTCCTTATTCATTTATGTACTTACTTCTGTGAATTTCTCCAAAATCTCAGCCTTTTCATCCGCCGATAATGTTTTCGTAAATTTATTTAAAACCGACATTATATTTGTTTGTTATTATTTGATCAGTAAATTTTTAGCAAACTTATTCCTATGGGAAATTCTTTGTATGAACGGGCTAAATTAACTACTTTTTCTTTCTCCTTTACTTCTTAGCCGACGACGTCAACTGCGACTGTGACAACAATAGAACAACGGCGGCGTTCTCTTCCGCTTTTACGTATATGTATCTTCTTTTTTTTCAATCTTCTTACCACTACACTGACAACACTTGCGACTTTTGTATTCTGACTTTGTATTTCGCGACTTCACTTATTTCAAATTTCTTACTTTTACTCTATTTTTTCAGCTTTCGTTCTGATTTCCCAAAATGTTTGTCAATTTATAGCGAATAAACCTTTTTTTTCTGTTACATAAACGAATAATTTTAGTCCACTTTAATTTAAAAATCATTCAAAGAACACAAATAAAACAACTGCAACGTGTAAATGTTGCTAATTCTTTCTTTAACTACTTTGTTGTAGGGCGGGCGATAAGTATCTATTTTATAATTCTTCAGCGTTTCTTTCCAATTTGATTTTGCGAACTTGTAAAACGAACTGGTCTATACTGCTTCCCAATTACCGAAAGAATGCAAAGTGAAATCAGCGTTTAGTTTTCGGTTTCGTTTTGAACAAGACTTCAATCACACAGGGTTGATTCGAGGCTCGAACGGCGTTGAATGAAAATTTTTCACAAATATGGCAGTGCTATTTGGTAGCCAAAACGGCAACTATCCTCTTAAAGAATTTTATATTAAATTACCGTCATAACACTAACAAATCTTTTATTTTTTATTTTTTTTTAATAACTTTGCTTTTACGTGCTCATCATTCGCTTGATGGTCACTAATAATTTCTTTCTGAAATTCATGTTGTGTAGGCTATAATGAACACGTTTGATATGCCCGAACATGCACGTGTGGCAGCACCAAATTTTTAGCATTTGCTTTTGTTTCGTCTTTTCACTTTATGTCATTTTTCCTCAATTACAATTTCTTTCTTGGTGTGTTCAGGTTATTTTTCAAAAATTGTCAAATAATACTTGCTTGGTCAAGGTTATAATTAATGGTTTTATCCACAATATGTTGTTATTAAAAACTTTATGTGATTCACTTGTCTAAAGCTGGCAAAGGTAAAGAAAAATATCGGGAAGTAAAGTGCGAAAGTTTTGTTACGTCGCAATTGTGACATTGATTTGTATATAAAAATATACATACTCGTATACATACATATGTTAAAGCTTGATAATTTGTATTAAAAACACAGAGTAAAAAAATATTATACATCTACATAAACAAGTTATTTATTTCAAAAAGCTATATATCGTGTCTTGCCATGAATAACGGCGGATTTAGCTCGGCAGACGAGGATTCTCGTGATGGCCACAGTACATGTTGTCTTATTGATGACGATGAGCGTTGTCGTAATCCAGCCGGTAATGCGAGATATAGTAAACGTATACAAAAAACTGTACAACAAAAACGTTTAAAACTACGTAATGATCCAACTGCTGAACGCATTTACATCTGTGAATATCATAAGGATCAGATACAATCTGCGCGCAGCAAACGACGACGCAAGGAATCTGAAGAAGATAGCAATGAGACAGATAATGAAATGCCTGATGTAGTTATGCCAGACCTATATCAACTCCAAGTGAATACATTAAGGCGATACAAACGGCATTACAAGGTGCAGACGAGGCCTGGCATGAAACGGCAACAGTTGGCGGACGTGAGTATGCAAGTTAAAGTACTGATGAAAAATTTCATAGTAATTCCTTACAGCAAACACTTATGCAGCTATAAAAAATTTAATTCTTTTTTTTACTGAAATTTATTTACATATATTACATTTTCTTTTCCAGACAATCATGAAACACTTCAAGACAATACCGATCAAAGAGAAAGAAATCATAACCTACTTTGTGTACATGGTTAAATCGAATTCGAACAAGCTAGATCAAAAAAATGGTATCGGTAACGATACAACCTGAAGAAAGTGGTGATAAGCCTCCATGGCTTGTTTTTGCTATTATGTTAAAATATATATACATATTTACTTCGGCAATATTATGATAGACAAGCCATTTAGTTTTTAAGCTTCCTTAATGTAAATGTATTTAGCGCTAAGTTTACATTGCTTTTATGGTATAATCATGTTCAAAATGATTATTCTTTTAAGAAATGTGCAGTTAGTATAACTCTTAAAAGTTTTATTATTTATCTATATAAGTATGTTTATAGAAATAGCTAACTACATTAATCTGTTAAATAAACAAGTCATTGTTCGATTTCTAACAAAGCTGAAAACTGGTTAAATAAATGTTTTTTTTATGGGAAACGTTTTTGAGATGATTTCCAATATTCAAGATTTGAAAGTTTATGCAAACATTCCTCAATTAAAACAACAAAATCATAATTACATATGAAACTGTATAGATTTATTAAAATTGGTTATTCACCTTTACAAAATAACCTTCGCTTCTTCCTCCGAATCACTGCCAGCGTCATCTGATAATTCAAATAGAAAAATATATTAGAGCCGGCAATCAACCAAGTACACGCAAATGAGCTTACCATGCAAATGCTTTTTGCTTAACGCTCGTTTGGATTCTTTTTTTGAATGTTTTTGCATTTGTTTTTCGATCTGTTGTGATAAGCTGCGCTCACTTTCGTCACCTTCCTCAGTCACGTTCTCTGAACAAATGCTTTCAATATTACTTTCAACGCCATCATCATCTGGCACCCACTTGATATTCGACTGATTGGATTCCAATATAGCCGATTTGGAGTCAATTGAAACGACTGTAAAATGTAGATAATAATGGCATATAAGCATAATGTGAAAGAAATGTAAAACCTACTTTTCTGTGGTTTCTCTGTACCATCTTCCTCTTCACTCTCAACCTCCTCGTCGCCGCTTGTTTCCATTGCAGTTTCATCTTTCAAATCGTCAGTTCCCTGTAACTTGAAATTACGTAGACGCAGGGACAAGCGATTCTCTGCTAATGCTGTGATTTTATTGAGACGCACACATTCTGTGAAACCAGAATTTCTATCTTCTTCTCGTGCCAATTTATCTAATTCCAACACTTCCTTAACGTAATCCACAACAAATTTGGCTCGACGTGCAGCACGTGTTGCACATTGTAGTAAAAGGTTGGAACTGGTAAGTGTGGTGCCGCCTAAATTTAGACAACACAATTCCCGAAACGAGTTTAAACCAAACACCAAGGCAGAATCGGCGACACGTTCCTCCAAAACACTAGGATCGGCAATAGCTAAACGACCATCATCGAAGAGGCAATAACTGGCACAAACGGGATAATGATGCAGCACCATTGGTATTGGTTCCTTTTCGGCTGGCGAGTGTATGTGCACATCATTGTCGATTATGCTAACATCTGGGCGCTTGAAATGCAAGAGGGCGCTTAGTGCAGCTACGGAACAGCAGTCTGTAAATAATTTATTGAAAATTTTCTATTTTAATAGAAAAACTCCGATCTTTTCTTACCAATTAAATTTCCCTCATGATTTAGTACATTCAAATCGATGCGCAACATCCACACACGCTCCTCTGTGGTTACACAAAGCGATTCCAAATCGACGCAACGTGAATCTTTAAATGTTCGCTCCAAAGTGCGACATATTTGCACATTTAATTCGGAGTTACGTCCGGATTCAAAGTGTGGCGCAGCCATTTGACCCAATTCGACATTAATGTGTATAATACCCTCATTGGGTCGCGTTGCCTTCGGCACTCCCAATTCGCAGGATACTTGCGCTAGAACTTTTGTTTCACCGAGCGCCACTAAAGCACTACCCCAGTCCGCACCGAAATTGATGGTTATTTTACGAAATTCATCATTCTTGCGACCATCGAGACGCTGAAAGAAAAATTTGTTTTTACAAAACACATTTTAGAAAACCGCGTGTTTATTACTTTCAAAAATGCTTACTAGATTATGTTTCACTGCCTGTGTGACAAAATTACGTTCTATTGTGGAAATTGGCGTCTCCTTCATTGTTAATTAGTACAATTCCTATATTTGAATGGTTTTTATTGAGCTTAGAATTTTAGAAACTTTCAAGCAAAATATTTGGTTTGATTTTTCTGCTTTTTATTGTTTATCATTTCTTTATGAGGTTATGTTTGACAATATTTACGAATTTAATAAAAGCAAATGGGCAAGAAAACAAAACGAAATGACAAAAGTACGACAACTGGCTGCTTCGAGACTCGAAGTCGAATACCTGCAGGAAACGTATTGCTATTTAAATTATTATTTTAATAGCTTTTAAGAAATAGTTAATTCATAATATTGGTAAAATTGCATAAATGTTTATTCACTTTGAAACTAGCCACCGTTAGTCATTTCCATTATTTTCAGCTGCTCCTAGGCCACAACGATGAGAAGTTACCGATTTCCCAGCGCGCTGGTGGCCGAAGAGTTAAACGGCGCAAGGGCATAGATGTCGTAACTAACAGCTAATACTTTCCACAATAGAAACTGTCTTCAACACCATTCACAGAGATCCCAGTGATTATGGCACAGCCAAGGCCGGACTTAGCTCTTACTTATTTAGATTCGACCCCACGAAATCACCAGCTACAATGAAAAATAAACAACAGTTTCGCATGAAAGACCCCATTTTAATGATGGAATATCTTGCCACTTAATTGGAAAGGCAATGCTGCCCAGCTAATTTATGTCTACGTAAAATTAAAGACTGATTTAACCGGTCGAAAACGAGTAGGTCCTCGGGACATAAAAAGCGCACATTTTTGGGGGAGGCTCAGTCACCTGTGGATCAACGACCCGCTACAGTCCGCAGCTAAGCGAAGTTCTTCCACATCGAGGTTCTACCAAAGAGCACCAGTTTACAAACACAGTTAAGATTTGTTGTTGAAAAGCTGCAGTCACAATATATAGCCAAATGGTTTTCTACTCGACTTGCTCTCCTAGTTTCCGAGAGCACTTAACAACTACTCGGAACAAGAGAAATGTGGTACAGCATTTCAAAATCCTTAAAGACAACTTCAAATGAAACTAATGAAGAATGGCTGACACGATGGGAATTGCCCTGCCGCAGACCATCGACTATCGACCAATACACCGAGAAATGAAGAGGGAAACGAGACGCATTTGCAGATAAAAACCCGGTAGGCCGAAATGCTTGCTTATGAAGAGCTTGAGAAGCTTCAATTATATATTCCTATACCTTTCTTCAGTCTGCCAGATGACAGTGAAAATGAAATTCCAGAAGATAGTGAACCCGATACACCAATCGGGGACAATGAAACCAGGTTTCAGACAAAGTGATTCGATTCACGTCACTTTGGATAGTCATAACTTCGTGGTCGTTGATAGTTTCGTTTATCTAGGGTCTATAAATAACACCAATAATAATGTCAGCTTTGAAATTCAATGCACTCTTGCCAACAGGTGCTACTTTGGACTGAGTAGGCAATTGAAATGTAAAGTCCTCTCCCGACGAACGTAAACCAAACTCTCCAAGTCCCTCATCGTTCCCGTCCTGCTATATGATGCGGAAGCATGTACGATGACAACATCTGATGAGCCCCTGCGGGTTGGGGGCTCACGAATTTACCCGCGGTAAGGCATGCCTGTCGTAAGAGGCGACTAAAATCCTATAGTTCCCGCGACAGTCGGGTCTTTATACCGAAATGACCCGGATATTTATCCGGCCAAGCACTGTCACTCAGGCAAAATTCCCCAAAAAGTACTTTGGAGAATAGTTTTGCGTTTACAACAAACAACAACAACATCTCATGGAGCGGCGTTGGGAGTTTCTGAGAGAAAGGTTTTGAGTAAGATTTATAGTAGCCTGTGGAGCGCATGAGCCAGGGCAAATACCGCTGATGGTTAAATGATCCCCGAATCAAAAGACAGGACTGCCGTCCGGATAGACGAAAACACTTCATTTTTGTAAGTTTTCGTTGCAGCGGTACTGCGCTGGCGGAAGCACTCCATCACCTGGCTTCACTTGGTTTCTCCAATTATTCATGTCAATTCATAAAATCCTCCGGTAAGGCATTTATGTTTTATTTGGCAAATTAAAATTGAATGAAAAAACAAATAAAAAGAATTTTAGCTCAGCCTGAGGTAAATCGTATATAACTCAATGGGTGTTGTTTTAAAAAATTATATTTTATATCTTAAATGCAATACCCATTTATTTTTAAAATTCGTATTTAATATAAACAAGTGTGTGGGAGGCACCATTAACGAAATACAAACAAAAAATAAAAAGAATGCTTGCCAAGAAAAACAAAAACCTAAATCAAAATCAAAATAAAAAAAAAAATTGTAACAAAAAAAAAATTTTTAAAGAATTTTGAAGCAATAAATATCAAATTTTCATAGTCTAAAAAGATTTGCTGGCAATTTAAGCAAAATACGAAGCAAATAGGGTGTATATGTATGCACAAACTCGTACATATGTATATATTCTCCATGCAGATATCTATTGTAAATGGTCGACAATGAATGCATACACATACATACGTACATACATGCATATCTATTAACATTGCTAAGCTAAGATTTCACATCATTTTATTTTTCAACAATGCAATCGATTTAAGAGTATCTTTTACCATAACTAACACACAGATGTACGCACATACATACATAGTGTAGGTTTGTCGGTGCATGCATTGAGAGGTGATTTTAGTAATTTTCCTTTTAATATCCAACTAGTATCAATATTTTTATTGAAAAAACCGGGTGTCTAGGCATTTTATATTATATACCAGGATTGCCTTTGATAATAAGCTCAAGTAACAAATAATCCATTACAGACTTTTGTCAAATATGCAGGGTTTTGCTCGAGAGTTTTTTTGCCAGCTTAGAGGTAATGCGATTATATTTCCCTCTCAGAGAAACCCTTGTCCTTTTCCACAAAAATTTGGGACCATCTACTATGCACATGTCTCTCTTGGGGCCAACTCTTCATCAGCCAAATCCTTTGCCATAGAAACAGAAACAGATTGTAATCAGTGATAATTAGTGCGAGGTTCAAAATATTTATACGGTGGCTACCTAAGAATCTTCCAACCAAGCTCTCGAAGCCTCTGCCGAGTCAGTGTGTGAAGTGTGTGCAGTCTGCCGTGGCCCTGATTAACCTTAGCTCTCCTCCTGTGGGAAATAGCTGAACGCTTCTGGGCGATTGCTTCCTTCAGACGGTCTAAATGCTGACAGTACAGGTTCAAATAAAAAGTTTAGTCGCAGGGGAGCAGCCCATTGTAGATGATTACTTGGCAAATGCCACCAAACACACAAAAAACTATTCTAAGTGATCCACTTTTCACCATCAGCCATTATCCGCTTCAGAAATGGTTTGATTTTGTTACTATTCCGCAGCGATTCGTAGGTTGAAATTCGGTCGTTGAGGTTTTTTCTCGTTAAATCATGTGGCACCAATACATCGAACTCCTTTTGTATATTGCACAAGTGATTCCAAATTGTTAAGTACTTACATGAGGGTTGTTGTTGTTGTTGTGGCCGCTTATTCAACCTCGCTTAGGGGCAGGCTAATCAAATCACCGAGGTCCTCTAACGGGAGGTTCAGGAAAGAGGCTGTTTTGAGTGGTTTGGACCACAGGGAAAAGAGAGTTAGATGTGTTGGTTGAAGGAGAATGTAAACTGGTGGTTCGTGTGTGTGGAGACTCGTTACATGCTGGACATGCGTTGTGTAGGTCGGGATCGAGTCTCGATAGGTAGAAGTTTAATTTACTAAAATATCCAAACCAAAGTTGCACCAGTATTACGCGGGACTCGCCTGGCAGCTCGAAGTCAATTTTATACAGTGAAGAGTGATCGTCTTCAGCGGTCGGTTTATCTGATTTTTTGAAAGTCTACTGGCAACAGGCAACTATTTGTTTGGAAGTGCTTCATGCGCGAAAACTGGTCCCACTAGTGCCTTTTGTTGTTTCAATCTCGCGAAAGGTCACACCACGATCATACAATATCAGTTTGCCCACAGCATCAATAGTATCAAGAGCCGTACTGATTTTGAATGACCTTCACCATCGATAAATACTGGTCCCTGATGGTCTGATTGTGTTTCATCGCCTAAAATTGGATTAAGATCGTCGATACAATGTTACTCAGTTAATCCACGTTATACAATTTCCAAAAAAACTAGCAACTGGGAAGTAGCAATCACGGATTAGTTTAGAAATAGACACGCTCTGTCTCAAGGTAATTTTTGAAGCTAATCGAAACTACAACTACGCTCCAACGGCATGGAGAAAGGTGCCAGTCGCCTACACTGCTAAAGTTGGTAAGGCCACAAATAGCAGCCCAAATGACCTTAGGCACATAAGCCTATCAATCTTCCCTCATCTTAAATCATTAGATGGGATCGTAGATAACTTCCTCTCTCTCTCTCACGCATATCAGAAAGAAAAATCAGCGGAATTCTGCATGCAAAGTTTGACTTCATTCTTTGAATAACTTTCTTTCCTACCTGTTCCCCTGGGAGCTTTCAACAAGATCTTACCGGCTGCTATTAAATATGCCTTAGATAGTCTAGGGGCTAACACTGCTCAGCACTAATTAAAGAAAGCCCAAAATGTCTTTTTAGATGTCCGGCTGACCTATTCTTCCTCAAGTCTAGTTGGGGTTAAATAGCTGGCAGCAAGATATGGTGAAAAATTTGTCTTTTAGTTTGTTCAAGGCTAGTTCTAAAAATCCTTAACTATCTCTTTGTTGTCTTCATCCTCAGTTCTGACTTAGCTAATGGGTCTCAGAGGAATCTCTATCAGCCCTAAATCGATATTGTCGACCAAATATAGCGTGGATATTCTATAATATTTTCTTACACCGGTCGACCTCGCCATATTTCGATCAATACAAGGACATGCCGGATCGCAAAGTTTTGTTCTGGGTTGGACCAAGTTACACATATTTGGAGGGGCTTTGACTTGCTATCACTCAGTTGAGAATTCAGACTGGCATCGTATCGGGTTTTTATTTTGACCGCCTAATGATCCAGATTCTGTGCTCTTATGTATTTAACAGTCCAAGAGAGCTGATAAAAGATATATACTCACCTAAAAGTAAGCTGGCCCTAGTTAAGGAGTGGTATAAAGACTTGGGCATAGTCCAAGGTAGTTTTTTTATATTTTTGT